TTCGGGTCTCGAAAAAAATCTCATAGATCGAGGATTCTGAAGAAAATTCTGGGCAAAATTCGCCAAAATTTCTCCAGAAGAGAAGAGAAAAAAATTCAAGAGAATAAAATTTTATACACTTGATACTACGCTCGTTTCTAAAATTAAAAAAGAGTAACAGTTCCAAAATTCTAGGGAATTCCGACGGAATCTCGAATCACGAGATATTTTCGAGAATCCGACGTTTTCGAGTATTCGCACGCTTCTATACGTGACTCATCCCGTAACCGGTAATACAGGATTTGTTGAAAAAAAATTATATTCGAAGAAAGACAAAGAAAGAAGTGTGTGTATATTTATAAAATTTTCGAATATTTGAGAAAGGAAAATATTTCGATAACAACATAAGAACGAAGTACGAACACGAGATATACAAAAATCGATCGTTGTTCGACGTGTGAATAAGAATATTTTATTATCGCGAAATTCGAAAATTTGAATATAAAAAGAACAAAGTCGCAAATACGTATAAACGGATAATCGTATTCGAAACGATTTCGAAAATCGTATTGCATTTAGTAAATTCTAAATCTTCTGTCGTCCTATAATATTGATCCTCCTGTAATATTGATCGATTGTCTATATACGTAGAGATTTTTTTTTTTAAATGTCGTAAAGATAAAAAAAAAAATGATAAAAATCGACATTCCATTTTCGAACGGAAAGAAAACGAATCGTCGATTCGCAAGAAAGATTTTGATCGCGGCACAAAGACTATTTCCCGGCATTCCACGCGTTCAGCGCCACGACAAATTTCCTAGCGTCTCTGTCGCGCAACACTCTCGTCCTCCTCGACGATCTCTCAACCTTTCTCGATCCCTGGAAACGCGATACCGGCGCAGATTCCGTCAACTTATTACGCAGCTGACCAACAAATTTGCCGACAGTCGTTCCACCGGCGTGGAGAGGATCCGCCTCTGTTCGCGAGCTTGTAATCCGACGCGACGCGATAAAGTCGGTGGAAAAGAAGGTGAGGAAAGATGAGGCGGCGCGCCAACAGGGAGGAAACAACCCCGAGGACGAATACGTTACCGATGAATCGTCGCCAATTTATCACGATGAAACTCGACACCACCGCCTCGCCTCGACCGGCAATTAACGCCCTTGATTTAAGGGCCAAGTTTGTAACGTCGTCGCCTCTGTATTTTTACTCTCCAATTCGCGTAAAGATTCCATTTCCTATGTAACTTTCTTCTTCTATCTTTTTTTTTTACGCGCGATTCGTCCAACGATTCCGATCGCGTTAAGCATTTATCTATTTTCGTTTCCGATCGTGAAATCGTACGGTTCGTTCCACTCGATTCGGCTCCATGTGTTTTCCTCCACTCTGACTGCATTCCGTTCACCTTCGACAACGTTTTCGTTCCATTCAGATTCCTTCTACGTACGCGATTCCAATCCTCGATTTTGTCCACTACTCTCATAACGACAATTTAGAAATCCAAAACAGATTTTCGTTTCGCATTCCATTTTTAAACAAATTGTCGCGATTTAATCAGTTAATTAGCATCAATTTCCGGAACATTTCGCTTTTATCGATATTCGTAAATGTACAGCTCAATTCGACTCATTGACCTCGTTTTTCTCGCATTTCCTTACTCATCGCTTACTCCTGCTTAAACTTTTGACGGTTCCGACAGGATAAATTACACGTTCCGGTCCAGAGTTGCGTGCAGAGAATCCGGTAGGATATGATTACATGGACTATTATTAAACTATCGCTAAGAACCACTGCCAAGAATCAGGCATTTTGTTGTCAGCCACGATGTAATTCATTCCGGAGTACAAAGGGACCAACTTAGTAATTGAACTCGTTTCTACGCATTCCCAAAGACAATTTACGTAATGGAGAAATGATTTACGATTATATGCCGTGTACTTAGTCGATTCAGACAGCTCCTTTCAAACTTTCAAACTTTCAATCGATATAATACGAAATATAGAATGATAGGAAAATAAAAATAAAAAAAATATTGCATTGAAAAATAAATCGTTCGACACCGGTTCAACATTGAGAGGTAAAAGAAAGATTAAATCGATCCATTGGTATTCGTCACTCGTTGGTACGAAAAAGAACGAAAAAGATTTTATTCGAAACAACAACGCGAAATCGTTGAAATATCAAAATTCTCGGTACATTTGTATACAAAGGATCCCAAAGGATCGTAAGTCTGTCACGCGTGTCTATTCAGATTCGTTTTTTATTAAGCGAAACTAGGGCGCCGACACGCCCACCGTAACGAATTCAATTTAACGCACGCTAAAGATCATGAATTCCTTCCTTGGTGTATACTGTATAAGCCTGATAGTGCGCTTTTATATTCGATTTATTAGGCTTAAACGCTGCTACTCCGGCCACGTTTACGATCCTTAACCACAAACGCTTTGTCGAATTCGCAACGTATCGTCATCCTTCCGTCGTGATTATTAATATATCGTCACGACTCGTCAATGCGGGTTCGGCCCATTTATTTACCAACAATCCCACAGATCGGTTACTCTCGAATCATCGGTCGCTTATCGTCACCGTTTTCGCTGTGCGCACCGATGCACTTTCGCTCGTTACAAAATCGTTTCTTTATATTTTGCAATCGAGTTAAGAGTTTGAAACGGAATGTGTGCAGACCGTCCGAGAACGTGCGAATCCGACCAATGATTTAACGATTTTTCCTCCATAAAGACCGAAATGCGTAGAATCTCGATGGATATTTATAGATTACCGTTTATAGATAGTATCCGTATACTTTGATCGTCTTGTCTTCGTGAGAATTTGGATTCGCGAAGCGATCACGCGATAATCGATGGTACAAATCTTTCGACGAATCGCGAATCGTCGGAGGTAATTAGCTGACCTACATCCTTTCATCGGACGACGGTCAATATGAAATAGTCTCGCGGGGGCGAATAATACGTGGGTAGCGATTTCTCATTTACGACAAATGAAAGCAATCGTTTATTCGCGGCTGTTCGTAAACGCGTTTGTCAGAAGCGACCGAGTCATCCTTTGTAAAGTGCCAAAGTTCATCCGGATCCTTTTGATCGAACGGATAATGTAGGTGTTTCGATCGAGAGAAACGTTTGCAATCTTCGTGATAAATAATGCTTTGTTATACACGATGTGTATTCAACCTACATCCTGCTTCTACGTGTTTAGACGTTGATATATTTGTTGGAAAAGTGGAAAAAATTAAATAGAGATACATCGATAATTGTATTAAATTTATAATATATACTAGATATTCAGGTTTTTAATAGTATAGTAATAATAGTCGTTAAATCGTTTTCAAATAGAAATTTCACGAGTCACGAATCATAATCACTTTGGATATGTGGAATAATAATTTTCTCTCTTTTCTTTCTTTATTGCCTAAAAAAGTAATAAATTTATCGAGAAGACAAATAAAAATTTACAAGAAAATGATTAAATGGATACAGGTATATAGAAGTAGTGAAACGAGTGTGATACTATAACTCACGATTCGTATTTTGTCGATGAACGATGAAACGATAAATGATCATCGTTGCGCAAAAAGGTGTCGATGATGAAAAATAAAGCACGTTTATCATAAAGCTAAAAGTCATTCCATAATTTCTCGATTAATTCCTCGAATCTCGGCTGATTCACGGTGAGATCATAGATCCATTCATCCTCATTAGTAAGCTACTACCTAGGTGGCACACCCTATCCATAAAGCTAAATTACGTTGTGGCACACATAATTCAGAAACGACGCTCGATTTCCTCGATAAGACGCCATGCATTCGCGCGATTCATCCCGTCTCGATATCTCGCGAGCGAAAGGTTAAATCGAGAATTTTATCACGGGCACGCCTATACGTTGTTCGATTCGTCGCGAGTTTCCGATATATTCTCCGCGCGGATACAAATTGATCGGTGTAGAGCGATGACAATCGTAAAAGGCGCGTCATCCTCTCAGATCTAGATTTCGGAGAGTCTATATTTTTGCACCAACTGTTTCGCGCTATCGAAGACACAACTGTGCTAGAAGAATGGAATAAAATTTCACTTTCGAATAAAATTAAATAGATTCGAGCAACGGATCACGGGATACGTGAGAATTAACCGTATTTCATTCCATTTCTTGTCGTTTTAAATCTATAACTGGAAACATCCTGTGCATGATACACTGTAGCGAAAGCAACATCGTATCGTAATTTTGCGCGCGATTATAATCGATCAACGATGATACTCGTAAAACGAAAGCTAATCGAGAATCGTTTCATAATCGTGGCTGATTAATGATTTTAATTTAAATCGATACATCATCAGAATCGATCGATTATCGTTGTGATTAACCTTCTGACCGTACAATTAAAAACTATCCATCCGTTTTATTTCCCTCTTAAACCAATAAAGAAAAGAAAAAAAACACCTATTGACGATAAAAGTGGTAGGAATATACTTACTTAATACTTGGTTCTTCGGTAAATTGCTCCGAAACAATTGAATATTTAATATATATGGGAAAATTTTAAGGAAAATTAACCCATAGAATGTAATTAGCGAAATGTGGGCAATCGCTTCTATAGAAAGAAACAACATCGAAAGTTAGAAGATATAAGATCCGAAAATTGGAATTTTATTTCCAATATAAATTTTATATATAACGGTTCGCGCGTATAAAACATATTAATCTCGAGAAGAAGATACGATTGTCGATGCGAATCAACGAATCAACGGTTATCGCGTAGAATAATATATTAAATCAAGCCAGATAAGAAATCAAATTCGATCGATAAATCGTATCGTAAATCGTATAATCGTATATACGTACAAAACATGGATTCGATCGAGTTGGATAATTTTGTTCACTTTACATAACATATGATAATAATAGTAATAAATAATTCGATGAAATTTAGAAAATTGTTAATCGTCTAAAGACGAGATCGGTTCGATAGGAAAACTAACGGAGATATTTTTTTTTCGGAATGGCGCAGGTGTATCCCGGATGGCGGGGACGTTGGTTACACGATGACGGAATTGCAGCCGTCGCCACCAGGATATCGAGTCCAGGATGAGGCCCCGGGCCCACCTTCCTGTCCTCCGGGCTCGTACAAGTACGCGAGTCACGGCCACGGTAGCGAGGCTGCCAATTTCAAAAGTACCTCGTCGTCCTCGTATCCTCAGGAAGGGTATGGTGGCCTTAAGCAGAGCCCGTCTAGGACGGTACCTCCTAACGAGTATTATCGGCGAAGAAACGACGGGAGAAGATCCACGGAGAACGAGCACGAGGCTGGCAACGCAACCAAGAAAGCCACGATTCCCGGCTACAACGAAAGTCACAAGAAGAATACTACGAGCTACAAGAACGACAGCGGGTACGCGAGCTTTCGTCCAATTTTCAGTTCGTATTCGCGAACTATCTCTTTCAACCGATATCGTCTATCTAATTTATTTTCAAACTTTTTCGAAAGTTTTTATTCGAGATAATACGAATCGTTCCATCCTCGAGTTTTGCAATTATAGAAATGTTCTCGAATTCCGGAATTTCTCGACCTAGACCGGTCTAGGCTGGCATGGGAATAATAAATCGTTTCAAATCTCTCTCCTGTTCCGCCGTGTGTCAAGGAACGGACGGTTCGTTCGCTCATACTCTTTTATCGAGCAGCTTTTTGCGGGCGAGATAAGAGATACCGTTTGGCAGCCAATTAGACGTTCGCTGTATCAGTCCTCGACACACTTAGATTTCGCGATAGGTCGAACGACAACGAGGATCTCGTTGTTGTATCTAGGGACGAGGTCCTCGTACGACGTCGCAATTATAGTCCGATCATACGCGTTTCCAGTTACGTTGAACTTGTTCGTTATTCCATAAATTACGGGTCGGCCATCCGTATATCTGGCCGAGTAAGTGGCGTCGAACGACATCGACAACGTAGAACAGAAAAAGATACGTAAGCGAGTGAGTACGTAGCGGATCGATCGCCCCGACGATTCGATCGCGCGATTCGCGTATAATTGCTTCCGTACGCGCGATCGATCGCCATCTTTTACAGATAGAACACAGGAGGCAACCGTTAAAGGATAGATATCCTCGTTTGATCCAACAGGTATAGCGAGAGCCTTGGATTCGACAGTTACACGCTCCCTCTCAACGAAAGAGACGAGGCATCGCCACCTCCAACGCCGCCGGTCCGAGACGCGTCTAGCCTCAAAGGTGTCTGCTACGGACCCGGCCACGAGAAATACCCGTCTTGGCCGAGCGCGCCCGAGAGACATCCCGACGAGGATGTTCACGGGTCGGGGCACAGCGGATCCCATCGTTCCAAATCCTGGACCGATCACACCAATTACCCGAAGGAGAAACCTGCCCAGTACACCAGACCGCATACCAAGAGGCCCAATCCCGCGTTCACGCAACAGGTACGAACCTTGTGTTTCCTGCGAATCGGATGCGCATCACAACGACTCGAATCCGATTCGATTCGAGTCGTGTGCTCGCGCTCCCCTCCCGTTTTTCCACCAACATTCCGTCGCGTTCCGATTCTTGCGAAATTGAAAACTACTCGCTCGTAACGAAGAAGAAGAGAAGAAACGCTTTCGGCTCGAGTTATTCCAATCTTTTCGATCCCATCTCCGTTTTCACCGTTTTCTTCGTAATCCGTTGCGTCCAAACGTAATGCGCGATCCCAAGGAAGCTTAATGGGACGAAGCCCGGTGTCGAACGTCGCGAGTGTGGGAAAAATCACGACGGTCGAAAACGACTACGTTGGTTGGTAAATCGAGCGCTACGCTCGAAAACGAAACGACGTATAATTAATCTCTCACACTCACCTTTCCCTCTCGCGCGGTGACATAATCCTCGCGTGGTTGCACGTTGACTTTCCGAAAAGTAGGCCGCCAATTTCTGAGAGGAGGTCTGTTTTCGGCCGAGCAGAACGCTCCCCGTGTCACCTTCCTCCCGCTTTTACCCGCAACTCCAGTACTCGCGAATTCCAACGTTTCCAGCTTCGGGGGAACGTTAATGCCCCCTGTAATTCACTCCACTTTCCTTTTGCTCGATTTAGGACTTCCTTATTAGTTGGTCTCGCTTTTTACCGGCTTCGGTAATTAGCTCGTTGCTGCCGGTGGTTTATTTTAAACCGAAACGCGTTAATCGGACGCTCGATGGGAAGAGCGGCTCGCGCTCGCTCGCGGTGCAAAAACGGAATTCAGTTTAAGTTCAGTTTACGCGCAGCGTGGAAACTTCGATCTCGCAATCGATTACGCAGCCTCGCGTAATTACTTCAAGGTAGAGACGCGCCAAAGCATTTCGAAACGCGAAGAGTCGGAAGAGACGAGTATCGCATCTTCCTGTTTCAGTTGAAGACGGTGATGGAACGCTGCGAGAAGATCCCGGCGGAGACTTTCGAGTCGCGTAACAGAGGCAACGTAACGGAAGAGGAACCGAGATTGTGGCCTCGCGTGGATCGCGAGGGCAAAGCTCTGGGTGACGCGGAGTACGTGGTCCCCTCTCCGCCCGAACGCGAACAACCCCAGACAGCTCAGACTCTCAGCCATGCCGATCTCGAGGCCTACGTTAGGAGTTATCAGGTGGATCCTCAGGTGTCCCAGGTAACGTTTCATTTTTCTTCCTTCTTCTTCTTCTTCTTCTTCTTCTTCTTCTTTTTCGTCTTCTTGTCGGATCTCGAGGATAACGATTCCGAGATTTCTCCTCTCCTCGTAGGTGGACATTTATAGAGAGTCAACTCTAACGCAAGCAGGCCTCGAGGAATACACCAGAGTGCAACATTCTCAACAAGCTAGCTACGCACAATCCGAAGGTTATCACAGTTACGTGTCCAGTGTCGATTCCACGACCAACACACCGTTCCTCGACAGGTGCGATTAAAATTCACACAATACCGATTTATACCGATTATTCCTTTTATTTTCTTATTCCTTTTTTCTTTCTTTTTTTTTTTTTTTTTCTTTTTTTTTTCTGCTCTCGACGTCGTATTTTCACGCTCGAATTCGATCTCGCGTTCAGATTGAGAAGAGACAGCGAGGCAGTGGCGCAAAGGCCGACATCCACTTGGGAGGACTCGACCTCGAGAGAAGGAAGGGACAGCGTGGTGACGACGTCGAGCGGAAGCGCCTCGAGCAGCGAGACCCTGAAATGGCACGGATCGATGTCGGATGTGAGCGTGTCAAGCGGGTTGCCGGCACGCCAGGGTACGTCGGATCGATGGCATCACGGATCGTTGTCGGATGTGAGCAGCGTGAACGGTGGAGTTTTATCCCAAAAGGCCGGGAACAACGGTTGTCCTCGCGACAAGTGGCAAGGATCCATGAGCGACGTTAGCACTAGTTGCGGCTTGTCACCGACCGGAAAGGGGAGACACGGCGGTGAAAAATGGCCGGACAAGTGGCAAGTTTCGATGAACGATCGTAATAAACAGAGCCAGGGTAGATCCAGTTTACCGGCTGTGATCAATCATTGCAACGCAACGGGCAACGCGGCCGATGTCTCGTCCGCTATACGAGAGAGCAAGTGGCAAGAGTCGAGTATCGACGAAGAGTCATTGGTGGACAAGTCGCAGTCGTCCAATGGGGCCACCCCGTCGATGCAGTGGGACAACTCGATGAGAATCGAGGGTGATAAGTATGGCTCGTTGACCCAACCGATGCCTCAAAGTCCCATACGTCAGCAAATCGGTACCACGACACCCCAAAGCCCGGAAAATTGGAATCATCCTATACACGGATCGATGTCGGATGTCAGCCAAGTCAATGGATTGTCGTGCAGCAAACAATTGATCGCTCATAGCGCCAGAGTTCAGACCCCGCAGAGACATCACTCGGAGAGCGTGTTGTATTTGGATCGTGAACGAAATCAACGCAAGCTATATCCAGTCGCCACTACTCAACCTCAACTCGACTCTACGCAGACCTCGAGGTATGTACGTTTTTTCGCAAAGTTCACCGATCACCGCGAAATCACGATCCTGCGAAATAATATATCACCGTGTATATTTTCTTTTCTCTCTCTGTTTCTCTCTCTTCCAGAATGGCACCAGTGTTGCCGTCTCAGCAAATTTCAGTGGCAGAGCGTATAAACGAATTAGAGAAGCAACAGCAGCAGCAACAACAGCAGCAACAACAGCAACAACAACAGCAACAAATGCGTTACACTTATCTAGACCCGGAGAAGCGTCATAGAGTGTCCGATCCAACGTTGAAAGCGATACAGAAAAAAGCTCTGCTCTCGTTCTACGAGAGACATCATCAGGCATCCTGGAGATCGGAACCGCAATTGGCCCAAGGAAGCCAAACGATCGCCGCGCCCCAAAGTCCTCCGCCCCAACCACCTCCACGACCGCGGCCACCGTCTTCGAGAAGAGCCAGCTCCGCTTCGGATTACGCGAGCGGTGCTTGGCGAGAAAATGGGAACCAGAGGAATCAGAGTCAGGCCAACCCGGGAGAATTGTCGAGTCCCAAGCATCAACACAGCAACAGTTGCGGTAGCCTTTCCACGGATTTGCTAGGTCCCGTGATAGTAGGACCGGCGATATCCATCGACGATTGGGTGCCGGAGAGGCCGCCCAAGAAACCACACCTGAGAAACGTTTACAACGATCGCGTACCCAGCCCCGATTTGCCACCACCCTCTCCCCCAACGGTAACCGAGAACGAGGTTCACGATTGCGACGATCCACTGCCACCCCCTCCACCAGAATTGAGCGACGATTGTTTCAACGATACAACGACCACAGCCACGACCACGACCGCGGCCACGACCACGACCGCGGCTCACCATCATCACCATCACCAATCGTCGGAAGAGTCGAAAATTCGCGACAGATCTTGCGACAGACACAAGTTGGAAAGACACTCGATCAGAAGATCGAAACACGGGTCGAAACGGGATTACGAGAAACTTTCCTCCGGAAAGTCTTCTCCGAGTTCAGCCGCGAAAACGATGTCCCACCAGCAGACCGAACAGGAACACCAACAACAACAACATCAATTCGTCAGGGGTGGTGTAGCGTTGAAACACGTGGAATCCGAGATGGTGTTGGAGAATGGCGTCTCGGCTGGATTCGCCACGCATAGAATGGTGGCTACCGTTGGTCGTTCCAGTTTGAGATATCCGTCCGCGCAAAAATTAATGATGAACGGTAGGGTAACGCCAGCCAGACGAATATCGGAGGAACGAAGTTTCTCCTCGGGCAGACCTCCGGCCCAATTGCCCGATCTTATCTCGCAACGATACACCGACTCCGGGAATCAGAGGCCCGCCCCCCAGGTACCCGTCGAGCCGAGGATCATTCGCCAAGAATCGATGCGAGTGGACGGGACGCGAATCGACGTTTCCGGTTTGCTCAGGAACGATTCCGCTCAGAGGCTGGAATCGTCTACCGGTCAGAGACCCCAGCCCCAAGTTGCTAAAAACGCGGATAAAAGTGGGACGGGCAATCAAGCGACCAGGCCTAATTACTTGCCCGTTCCGGAAAACTCGAAGTGCGCGTCCAAGTATCTGGAAAGTGGGAATAATCACGGTTTCACGATCGGTAGTCCGGTGAAGACAGGCTACGAGGCCAATTCCAAGATGTATCCGTCGGAATCGAGCCCTCAGAAGTATCACGAACCTCCGAAATACGTAGCCAATAATCACCATCAACGTCACAGCGGCGACGGGGCGCAGAGGGGGAATTATTACGCGCTCCCTCCCAAGTATATAGACGCGCCGAAGCAAAAGCCTCAACCTCAATGTCCCACGGATAGATACGGCGGTTCTACCACCGGTTCTTCTCCGAGCTCTCCTCCTCCTCCGCCTCTGGCCCCAAGGCAAAACACCGCGGGTAGAAAGTCATTGCCACCACCGCCTCGACCGGCACCTCCGCACGCGCTGCAAGGGTAAGTTTGAAACCAATTCTTCTTTTACAACCAATTTTTATTTCTTCTCCTTCTACTTACCGCCGATACATGCGAAGTGCTAAAGATCGCGTCGAAATTTTCCCGACATCGATTTTTTTTCAGATTCGGCCAAGAATCTGACCGCTTTTCAATCGGTCAACGGTTTACGAATCGAATCGTCGATTTTTTTCTTTTTTTTTTCCACCGAGTTTCGTAAACGCGGTGAGAATCTCCGGGCTCTTTACGATTTTTACGGTCGTAGAAACCACGATACAGGCGATATGCGCTATCTTTCAACAATTTCGGTTGGACAGGAGGAAACGCACACGATTCCATAATTACGACGTAGTTGAACGACGAATGGTTGCTCTCGATATCGTCGCCCGATATTATACGTGTTGTACCGTGCAACATATCCCATCGTACGATCCCCTCTACTATCCTGCGATCGATCGGTCGAATTAGAGGTATACACCTTATCCTACGTTATCAACGAAAGACAGCTTATTAACGGCCCTTCAACATCGATAAATCACTCTCGCGAAAACTCTCGAGAGAGAGTTTTACGATTTACGATTCGAAAATTGTGAAAAGTAAGACAGAGAGAGAGAGAGAGAGAGAGAGAGAGAGAGAGAGAAGAAGATCTTTCTTAAATTCCACAAACTATCGCGTTCTAATCGTTATAGTTTCGATTCCGCATACATAAATGGTATAATGATCGCTCAACAATTTTGCAAACTTACAATATATACGTGTATATCCCTTGCGAAATAGTCGATTTCGAGAAAACCGTACATTTTTTTCCTTATTAATTCTCCGCTCACCGCGCTTTTTCACCATTCATTAATGCCAACCTATGAATTTATAGTTCGAAACTGGAGTTTCCCTTGCGAATCAACGAAGATTAAATCTGACGAGAATGAAAAAAAAAAAAAAAAAAATTACGCGAATCATCTTCTCTTTAAGCGGTTTATGTACAAGTATATTCCTGGAAAGAAAATCTCGACTACCCGTGCTAAGGAACAGCGGTAAAAGCGGAATCGTTACCAGCCCGATACGAGAGCGTTGAGCAAGAATTACCGACAGATTATCAAGCAACGAAGCCAGACCAGAGATCCCTCGATGCTCGTTTTTGCGCCGCTTTAAATCCAAGAACTCGTAAATCCCCGGGGATGAACGGCAGCGATGCCGATAGTTCGGCTCGCCTCGTTAATTATCTTCTCGTTCGTTCGCTCGGCCGAATCGTATGCATTACCATCGGATTATCATTGCAAATCTAACGGTGTCCCATTACCGCCTTGATTTACGAGCGTGTGACTTTCCCTGAATCGCGTCCGGCGGCCACTGTCTTCCAACGACTTCGAACGGAACTATTTACGATCCCCGCTTCTTTTAATCCTCGCGTCCACGCGAATTCTCCGTTCAAACTCCGGCAATCCTTCCTTCCTTCCTTCCTTCCTCCGATTCATATTTTTTATTCCGTTTACATTTTCGGTGTTACATAAATCGATATTGCATCACCGAATCGAAGAAAAAAGATATCGATTATTATTATTATTATTATTATTATTATTATTATTATCATCATCGTTCACGATCAATCACGATCGATCGTTCGAAAGATGGAAAATTTCGAATCGGCTAACTGAAAAAAATTAATCGAGATAGTTGCAAAAAGAAGGAAAAATGACAATTCGGAAGCAAGATTGATCGAACGCGAAACGCTTTTCATCCTAGATCGAGTCTTACGGCGGCGAGTCTTTCCGTGACTCTCGACGTACCATCTCTTTGTCCTTTTTGTCGGTTTGATGGTTTTTTGGGTCACGAAATGACGCTCCTCGATCGATCTATCGCGACTTTTATTTCAAACAATTCGAATTTCCTTAATCGCGACGCAGGAAATTAATAGCCGATCGATTAATAGTAATTTACGCATAATGTCGCTTTGAATTCATCAAAGGACAGACTCGTTGGATGGAAAGCACAGGATGTAGTCTCGATCTCGCGAAGCGATAAGTCTTTTCACCTTTCTTTTGTTTCGTTCTCGCTCTGATTGGATGACCACCAACTTGACTTCTGTAACGGCCGAGCGATCTTCCAACGGATTTTGACCTCGCGACACGGTTCGAGGATCAAACGCTCGTTATGACCTTCGTGCGAGCAAGAAACAAGAGATACAGAGTCTTGCCATTACTTACTCCTATTTCACTAACAGGATCGAAATCATTTGAAATTATTTCGAATCTTGTACACTCTATATATTACCTCCTATCTCCCACCACGTGTTTACCAACAATAACAACAATATAAAACAAATCTAATTACTATCTCTAATTATTACTCCAAACAAAAATTTCCGTGACATAGTTGTAACGTGGATACTGCTGATCTTCCTCGTTCACTACTACTACTACTCTCTCTCTCTCTCTCTCGCGCGCGCGCGCGCGCCAGCGAAGGTTTAACCTTTCGGCTAAACCGAGCCACGAGGCAGAAATGTCAGAAAAAAGGTTACCCGCGTGGCACCACCACGGGCGTGTTTGCCTGTTCTTTGGCGCTCGATTATGCTCGTTGTGCCATTGCTGTTCCAACCGCACGGATCGAGCAATTGAACGCGTGAGAATTCGTCGACTATTCGGCCTCGTTCAATGATATGTATATCCGTGTCTATCGAGTTAGAGAACACGGTAATATAACGCTTCTACGTTCTTCAAATCTTCGTACAAAGTTTCTACCGTTTCGTCGAGAAATTTATTACGTCAATTTATTTTTTATTCGATAACATTTCTGATTAACATTGGAAAAACTCCATTGATTCGGATCGTGGATTCCATCGCCTAATCTAATCGCGCAATTGCGATTACGCGTTTCGATCGAGTGATTAGTCGAGTGCGAAAAAATTTGTATTTTCATGGCAAGCATCTTTCAACTATCTAAGTAAATGCAATTAACTACTAACGTAAAAAAATCTAAAATTGAACGAATTTTATTTTAAAAATTTAAAAATAATATGTCGTATCTATCGCCAGATTGTTTTAATCGAAATTATATCATGTAGATCTGTTTCAATTATTTTATTCTTCGAACGAATCAACGAATTTACTTAACGTTTACGTTCGATTCGAATCATCATCATTTCCCTATCCATTCCCATCATTTCGTACTTTTCTTCGCACGGCCTCGACAAAATAAATGTAACAAGGTATCGCTTAACATCGTTTAGTCTTCTTGTCGTCGAGTCTTTTTGCTACGCATATCGGATGATATCGCACAAACTTGGGAAGAAAAAAGGTCTATATCTACATCGTATTATCGCGACATATCATTCTTCTTATTTTATCATTAAAAGCACTTAGAATCTTCGAGTACTTGTTCTCGTGTAAAAGAAATTAGATTGAATCTCCTTTTCATATTCTTTCTTTGTGCGAAATGTTTCTTCAGAAACGCTTCTAAACAAATTCAACAAATTCGAAATCGTGCCGCTTGTCTGTTCACCATGTGCGAATGGCGAATAGAAATAAGCGAAGCCCCATACTAAACGAAACAGGATTCGATATACTCGATATATATTTTTCAGATTATGGTAAACGACGTGATGAATATGTTATCATATATGTGTAAAATGTGTATTTGAGTAACATTTTTACCGAATAGTGAATGTTCAATAATCTAAAACGAGTCAAATATATCATTATATCGCTTATATTATTGATATTTGAAGCCTCGATTTGATTATGATCAAACATTCGTGATGTTCAACATATGAACGAGAGAACGTATTTCCATCGATCGCGGAAAAAAAATTTATCGCGTATTTATTCCGTTCGTTTATTCTACCGAACTATTCCGTAACCGATAACCAATTTCGAAACTGAGAATTTTACTTGCAACGACTGAAATAAAAATTCCGTTTGTTTGATCAAGGAATCGATGGATTATTCACAAAATATAATAATAAACATAAATACATATTTATCGAACTTAGTTACAATTATCGATTTTCGATTATCAACTCGGATGAAATGCGAAAGCATTGTTCCACACATTTTTTATATTTTTTACATTTTTATCATTTTTATGAGAAAAAACAAAATACCAATCTTATAAATGATCACAATGTTTCGTTTTTCCTGTTGTAATATCTAATAACATAATTACATACAACAAAATTAAATTCGAGAATTACAAAATGAAAATCTGTGCTTATATATATATATATTTTATGAACCAAAACGAGAATATTATCTATTATTTATATCTAAATTTTCCATATTTTAATTAAAAAAATATAATGTGCTAATTAGGTCATATTATTTTTTATAAAACGTATAATTGTACTATTGAATAATTGAAAGATATTTTGAAAAATATTAATTAAAAAATAAAGTAATTATAGAAATAATATATCACACAATTGATTAATCAAAAGCAATACTTGAAACAGAACTTCTAAACGCCACGATTTTCGATAATAGAATAATATCGCGATTTCATTTGGTTGACGTTGAAGTTTGGGAAAAAAGAATCAAAACATGTCGAAACATGATACGAACGTGTCCAATACCAATTTCCTGGAAAGACTATTGTTAGAAATATTTTTCGTCTTTCGAAGGAATATCAAAATAAATACAAAAATATGAATCATAGGAAACGTTTTCAGCCTTGAGCATAAAATCAAAACATAAATAATAATATGAGTTGAACGTACGAATATAAGACGCGTATAGAAAAGAAATATGAGAATCGTATATATGTATATATGAATAAAATTGAATTAAATAATTTGATCTAATTAAAAATTTTTATTTTCGTAAGAATAAAAAGATAAAAGAAATATTATAATAATTATTATATGTATTTTTTGTTAAAATAAATCTTACCATGTTTAAAGGAAAATTATGACTTATGCATAATCTATTGTATAATAACATTTTCGAATCCACTTCAATAATTGAATGATCATCTGCACAAATAAAAGTTAGAACAAATGTATAAAATAAAATAATAATTAAATTTAAAATCCGATTTCAAACGCTGCTTCAAATGATAATAAAAAATTACCGGTAAAAAGCTGAAACTCAAATGCGAACAATAAAGAATCACGAAAAAAGTGAAACATAATTCAATTTTGATATAACACTGGATAATATGAGTAACACACATATTAAACAAAAGCACTAATAGAACTAGAAATTATACCACACAATATCAAATTCTATGTATAATTATGATAATATATCTGCATCGATGTAACGCGTGTTCTACCTACTATTCTTGACGATAGACTGACGTCACTGCACGCTGATTCGTCTAGCATCTGAGTCTTAGCAGCTTTTTGATTGGTTAGAGTAACACAATTTCTTATTCACTTCGCGGGAAAATTGAAGTATAAATATAATGTACTTTGATTGTAGATTTTTGTATAACACAGTTTTACCAAGATACAATGAGTGAGAGTTGAATAAAACGATAAATGAATGAATTATTATTAAGTTAATTTTTAATATAATTATCCAAATTAAAAAGATTGAAATAGAAGACTAGAAAATTAAGATTGACATTTAAAAATTGATCAAATCAATTGGATAGAGTATAATATAAAACTAAAATCAACATATAATACCTAAATTGGAGAATATTGAAATATGATTTTTATAAATAGAAACCAATTTTAAGTTAAAAACTTTTATATTGTTCGCGATTTGTTGCTTTCATATTACACATAGATCAATTTAAAAAAATTACCCACACACGTCATTTCATAGCGATATTGTACTTGCAATCCGATCTAATCCAATCAAAATATTCAAAAAAAAGGAATCTTGCAAATTTTAGATAATTGAACTAGATATATATTCTTTGCGTTTAACTTTGATTTCTAAAAAAAAAAAAAGAAAAAAAAGAAAAAACTTAATATATTTTATAAGTTTTTAATTTCTAATAAAATTTTATTTAACCAAATATTGGAAAACAATGCTTCTCGCTATTAAAAGACGACACAAGATCACCTAACCTAATTCCCTTCTGGAAAGTATTTGATAAAAATAATTTATCGAAATGATCAAAAAATAAATTATCGCTATTTATTTATTATATATTATAATATTATATATTAAAGAAAGATTATAAAAAAATAGAAAAAAAATTTATTCTAATTTTATGTCATTTTTATTTTGTACCTGTGATTGTCTTCAATTGTTCTATCTGTCAGATATAAAATATACAAATAATTTATCCATATTGTGTAACAGACCAGAAAAATGGAACAAATCTTTTTCGAAAAAAATTTGCTTTCGAAAATATTCTTCACACAAACACACGAAAAATGTTTTTGAATTCTTGTAACTTCCATTCTCTTTTTATCCATCAACTATTTTTAATCGATAAATTGAAAAAAGAAAAAATATTTTTATATATGGTTCTCTAGTAAATATAATAAAATAATTTGTCTTTCTTAAATAGTTCATTATTCAGATTGAAGTATCGAAGCGAATAACAAATAAAATAAAATCTTTGTTTGCACAATTATTTAATTGTAAATTTCCTTCGAGAATCTTTTAAATCGGATAAAAATAAAATGGAAAAAAGAATTAAAAAAAAAAAAGAATAACACGTATTGAAATAATAAAGAAATAATAAATTTTTTTTTTATTAAAAAAAAAATTTCTCGCACAAAGCATCACACTCACTGATCACAATACAACTGACCGTATTTTCCTCACGATTTACGCCTTTTATGCATTTGTTGGTGTCAAGGTTGAACCAATCAGCATTAGCCATTCGACATCTTCCATCTGATTGGTGCGTTTCAGCTACCAAAATTGTACGACATTCGAGAACAAGGCTGAAAAATTCTAATGAAAAATTCGCAGACGAACCGAACGGATGTCAAATCGCTAACCGTCACTTTTTCGTTCAGTCTTTTAATAATATTATTTCCAATCAAATTCTCGTTATTTGAATTTATCAGAATTTTCAAGAGAAGATGGATTATTTGCACAATCATCTGCAACAAAAATACGTGAAATACAGGAATACGATGTAACACTCTACTAACTTATCAACAGGTAATTAAAACAAGAACGATAGTTATCTTCTCATTGTAGCATAAGTAAACGAATATACTTTTGTTAGTGTCGGAAAGTTGAGCGCGACAATGCGGTCCTTGGAGTGTAGCCTTCCACAGACTCGTAATGTCCTCTCTTCATTCGTGTCGGGACTAGTTTGACGACTTGCCAAGAAACGAGGTCAATTGCATACAATCCTGACTAATAATTCTAAGCGAGTTTAGGAACGATAGTATAGTAATACCAGTAGCCTATACGCCTTCATTAACCGATTAACATCCACAAAAAGAAAGTATCGATGTGCTTACGAAATTTCGTAATCATATTGGTTCCGAGTCAATGTGAAATTTATACATATAATTTACACGTAATAAATAGGTAAACTTCATTTGTAATATCGTTCATTTGCCACAAGAATAACGAGCGAATTTAAAATTTACAATTTTTGAGGAAAAAAAGTGTTGGTGAAGATAAAGTTATTTTATTATAATTTATTCATGTTATATATAAGTGATGATTGCAAAATTAAAAGTTTTCAAATTTGCATTAAAAATATCAAAGTATCGCAAATGTACGCGTTTATCAATTGATAGTTTTACGTTTAAAACAAAAAAACGACAAAAATAAATAAGATAAATTTTAAAGCGGTAAATTAAAAGAATTAAACTTATAATATAAAATATAAAATTTATACCGGATAAAATTTTTCTTGAGACAAAAAGAATACAACTTAAAGGACAACTTAATAATAAAAAGAGGAAATAATATATCTAATCGGTGAATGAAAATGTTTATTGTCGAATCAATTTAAATATTCCTTAAATAATCCGTTATTAGAATAGATATATAAATATATATCTATATAAATATAAATATATATAAATATATAGATATATAAATATATGTTTAATTATCATTACTTATAATATAATGATTACAGATTTTCTTGATAAAAAAATCTGTCATTTTATAAATTTTTATTCTTGATAAAAAATTAATATCAACTCTCGATTTATCGAATTAAAAATATATAATATTCTCGTCGAAAACTTCATTCAAATGTGCAAAATAACAGAGTTCTAGTTTGTTGTTGTAACGAACGGCCTCGACTTTGCGACTTTGACTTCGTTTCAAGCGAAGCATCGCAGTATTTCGTCGTTGACGAGGAAACAGCTGTGCCAAGAGAGCTCAAGGGAGCTATAAGAACCAAGTGACAAGGGACAAGGAATGACAACGACGAGGAAGACAATAGGCACCGAGACGAGACCGGTGGACACCGGACACGGACTCACGGGAGCGTCTCAAGAAACGGTATATCTTCATGGCGACACTTTATCTTACGAGTAAATGGTTAAATTGCTCGATGTTATTAACCGAGTAATTTACCGTTAGAACCACCGTCTGACAAAATGTTGGAACTGATCGTTTTTTTTTATTCGTGATCTCGATCGAGGCTAATTCCATTCACGAAGAAATATCCTCGCTCTTGTCATCCTGCACCTGGGTAAACACGTGTACCACCTACGTCCTCGTCGATGAAGCCTACCTTCCATCCATCGTGTCTCGTTCTCATCGAATAATCCAGTTTCGTTCGTGTTCTCGTTTAATTAGGCTCCTGTTAACATCAATTCATCGTGTTGATATTCGATAAGGTTCAAAGCTATTTCGAAATGTTTTACTTTCCGTTGGTTTTCATCGCGGCAATTTTACACTTACTTATCTTATCCTTAGAATTCCTGAATTTTATCAGTCTATATTCGTGTTTTCAAGATTATCAACGATCCGCGACAAAAAATCGATGGCATACTCTTAAATTTGCGATAAAACTGCGATCTTCTTCTTTTCTCCATATTTCATATTTTGATGAAATTTCAAGATGTTTCAATTGACGAAGTTAATCAGGCGTTCAAAGTTCTAATCGTAAAATGTAAAAAAGAGAGACGACGAATAATGGCATAGTTTCCAGATTTTTTTGCGATTGTATTATATGCAATTTTATATTGCCTGTACGTGTCCATTTTATTAATATATTTATTATAATGTATGTTTTATTAAAATTTCATCATGCACAAATCTCGAAAATCATGGAAAATATTTATCCGACATTAAAATAAAAAAATGATTTTGCATACTATAAAAAACTACTCTTATTTATTTTATCTAAATTATTATTTTTATATATATATATATTATATATATATCATCATTTTATTGCAATTTTTTTATAATTTTTTTATTTATATAAGAATATATTTAAGAATATAAAACTTTTTTCTTGATCCTTATATTTCTAACAATATCTATCAATATATAATATACTTCACAATATATAAAAGTATATAAGTATCAAGAATAAGTATATTGTTTAAATAATAAAAATATTGCACAATGTGTATCATTTTTTTATCGGAATTGTATAAAATTTTAATTTACTAGCTACTATGACATTTAACAATCTCGTATAAATTTGTGCAATTTTCGAAAAAAAAATTAGAAATTATGCAATGCGTTATATCAATTTAGCAATGTTTCGATGCGACTAATGAAATATTTCACATTTCGAGTAAATATATCGAATTTCTTTGAAAAATTCAAAGAATATATATAACAGGAACGTAATTAAAAAAAATGGATATAAACGATATTATCAATATAATTATATATATAATATATATATATATATATTTGTTGAAGATAAGTTTAATATCCTTGAAATTCCGGTCGGAATTCGAATTCCTTTCAAATTTCAAAAGAAGATCTCGAAAGCAAAACCATTTCCATCAGCCATGTGTTCCTCAAAGAACGATTTTATTATCGCAGCTAGGGTGGGCCCCGACTTCGCAAACGAAAAACACGTTAACTTCGTGTGCACGCTTCCGAAGTTTCACGATTGTTCGTAGCCACGTGCGGCCAAACTGTCGTGCAATAAATGGCCAGGATCATAAAGTTTCCGGTCGACCGATCCAACGACGAATGAGCGCATAAACGACCACGACGTTTCACGACCTCGCGCGACACGGCCGAGGAAATCGTTGACCGTTGGTCTCTGGAAAATTGTCGTAGGTCAGTGACACTAGTGGCTAGGGATAACCGCGCATGTTACACCTGCGAGAAGATCATTGCCATTAAACCACACAGAGATTATTGACGAATTTTCTTCGCGTATAACGTGGAACGCGTTATCACGATCTCGATTAATCACGATAACGAGAATAAACTAATCGGAAATTCGATCCAATATTTCTTGTAATTTTCTTTCGATTTTTCAAGAAATTTCAAAGAGATATAAATCTGAACAAATAGGAACCATCGATTTGAATAGTATTATTCGAATAGTTTCGCATTGGAATTTCATCATATTGTTTGTAAAATTAACATTTTTAACAAGATATGAATAAAAAGTGAAAATAAATACTGAATACAATACAGTTTGGTCCAAATAAATTTACAATAGAAGACCAATCGCAATTGATATTAAAAAATAAAGTATATTTGTTGAAGATAAGTTTAATATCCTTGAAATTCCGGTCGGAATTCGAATTCCTTTCAAATTTCAAAAGAAGATCTCGAAAGCAAAACCATTTCCATCAGCCATGTGTTCCTCAAAGAACGATTTTATTATCGCAGCTAGGGTGGGCCCCGACTTCGCAAACGAAAAACACGTTAACTTCGTGTGCACGCTTCCGAAGTTTCACGATTGTTCGTAGCCACGTGCGGCCAAACTGTCGTGCAATAAATGGCCAGGATCATAAAGTTTCCGGTCGACCGATCCAACGACGAATGAGCGCATAAACGACCACGACGTTTCACGACCTCGCGCGACACGGCCGAGGAAATCGTTGACCGTTGGTCTCTGGAAAATTGTCGTAGGTCAGTGACACTAGTGGCTAGGGATAACCGCGCATGTTACACCTGCGAGAAGATCATTGCCATTAAACCACACAGAGATTATTGACGAATTTTCTTCGCGTATAACGTGGAACGCGTTATCACGATCTCGATTAATCACGATAACGAGAATAAACTAATCGGAAATTCGATCCAATATTTCTTGTAATTTTCTTTCGATTTTTCAAGAAATTTCAAAGAGATATAAATCTGAACAAATAGGAACCATCGATTTGAATAGTATTATTCGAATAGTTTCGCATTGGAATTTCATCATATTGTTTGTAAAATTAACATTTTTAACAAGATATGAATAAAAAGTGAAAATAAATACTGAATACAATACAGTTTGGTCCAAATAAATTTACAATAGAAGACCAATCGCAATTGATATTAAAAAATAAAGTAAATGCAAAGATAATAAATTCTTTTTATTGGAATTCGATGATACATACATATTCCCTTGATATCCTTACGAATATTGCTAAATTATATAATCATTATACTCAGTATACTCGAAGCGAAATATTATATTAATAAATTATACGGTAATAATTATGAGAATCGAACATAACGAAAGTCATATTTCATTCGTTCCGCTGCTCGTCATGTACAACGTTGTCAAACATATTATTGTTTACACATATTAATTATGCTACTACGTTCATTGTCAATTTTCCAGAATTTCAGGAAATAATAATGAATTTCGATGAATTTACCTCGAGTCGAATCTTTCTGGCAAACAGATGACGACGAAGACATCTGGCAAACAATTATCGCGATTCTCGAGAGACTATCTTGAACGGACTATCTTAAAAATAAAGAAAATGGTAACGAGAATTCTTTATATGAGAAAAATGAGATAAATAAACACAGACAGGGAAACATACGCGAATGATCTAAAGAGAAACGACATCGAGAAACGGGACGCAGTTATCAGCGAGATCGTAAAGATCGACGCAAATCTGATCGACAATGTGGCATGGCGAATTTTCGACGCAAGATTACAGATACAAGACACAGTCGGTGAATTTATTAAAGTAGATTAAGAAATGAAAGGATGCGTACTAAATTAATGGACGAAGGCGGTTTTCGCGTGATTCGCAGTTTGTTTTTCTTTCGCGAGTTGACTGGTTGCCAGGCATCGATCGCCAGTTTAAATCGTTGAATGGCCGCGAAACGATCCAGGGTCGAGAACAGACTGGAATAACGTTCGCGATACTACATACACGACGGTTAAATTAAAAGCATTACCAATGTCCAGAATAGCTAATGACATCACCCAGCAGATGGTTTACCTATATGAAACGGTTGCTCATTCGTTTCATCGTTATATTAGCCATTCTCGATCGAGTATTTTACGGAATTTTACGGAAGTTTTGATTGTGTTATTATTATGTGTGTGTAATCATAGAGAATATTTTTCAACTCATCATTCTATTATTCCATTTTATATTTTTTTCTTAAATTGTAAAAGCCATTATAAATTTATGT